CCCCCCCGTGAAGTGTCGCTGGGACAAGGCGGCCTTCGGGTGTTGGGTAAAGAAAAAGAAGGCCCTAACGTTGAGACTCGGCTGAAACTGCCTTAAAGAGCGTAGGAGCAGTGGTGGAAAGGAGTCTGTTGTCAGCTTGTGGATTGAGGTCGTTGCTAAGCTGTATGCAACAAGCAGTGTTAGGCCAGTGGGTAACAGGAGCAGGTGCATGTTGTACACTTGGGCAAGGCGGCCTTCGGGTGTTGGGTAAAGAAAAAGAAGGCCCTAACGTTGAGACTCGGCTGAAACTGCCTTAAAGAGCGTAGGAGCAGTGGTGGAAAGGAGTCTGTTGTCAGCTTGTGGATTGAGGTCGTTGCTAAGCTGTATGCAACAAGCAGTGTTAGGCCAGTGGGTAACAGGAGCAGGTGCATGTTGTACACTTGGGCAAGATGCTTTAGAATGCCAGGAAACAAGTAGCTAGGTTTAATATTTGATTTTCACCCGTATAACAATGTTATTTTAGTCAGTGGTAGTGCACAGAAAAGTTGAACAGATCACAATGTGCTTTCTTGCATCGTTTGAAGCATCTTCTTCTAGGTACTATTAGCCAGGGTGTACTAGGCTGTATGGAATATTTGGTGTGCCTGTGCCCAGGTTTTTTGGAATTAACAGGTTTACTATTGCAGAGACAGTTCTGTATTGGGCAACAGTTGTGGGTGGGAAAAAAACAAACATAAAAACACTTGAATTTGAGATATGATTTAAAATGCCCATTTTTTGCCTTCACCTAAAGTTTCTTTCCAGTTAGTTTCAAATAGACTAAATATTTAAAAACTTTTAGGAAAAATGTCTTGCTAAGGGTAAACATGTTATGACCTAAGTATAGGAGGTAGCTAGGGAGAAGCACAACTGGTGCATCGGGGCATCTACTCAGCTGCTTACTCCTGAGGGTGAATAAACACTTCTGCGTTGTTAGTGTTAGTTCACTAGTAATCATGTGATGTGTTTTTCCATCTTTTATGAGGCTCTTGTCCATAATTAGTTTTCTTTGGCCGATGTATTTTTATATTTCTATGCTACTAGGTTATTGTCTTACTGGATGTTAAAAATAAACAAATAATCTAGTCCTTTTTTCCCCCTAAATTTTTTGTGTGCCATTTGTATAAATAACTTATTTATCCTTGTGTAAGGATTGTAACTGATCCTGAAGCTCTTTTAGTCAAGAGGTTATAGTTATCAACCATTCATAGCTTTCTTTGTCTAAGTTTGTATTTAGTTCATCGTAAATTACTTAATCATGATTATTTTCAAAATGCATTGGCTTCATCCTTTCAGCTTTTTGTACGATGGACTGTACAAATATGGCTTTTTTTCTGCATTGTAACCAAGAATTTTTTTTAAGGTTACTTTTTACTTGTCACTTGATGTTTTTTGTCATAATAAAGTGTCTTTCACGTAAACCAGTAAAATTAAGACAACAAAACTTAAAGACTATTAAGTATTAATAATTATTAAACAGTATTGTAGGGACTTGGAAGGCTACAGATGTGTACAAAGAGCACATTCAAAGAATATTCTGGGCTTGTAATTCACTAGACTTTGTAATAAAACACCTCATGTGTTTACTCATTCCTGCGCTAAAAATGTGTGCATATTTAAGTGTACTTACTTGTGGGAGCTGAAAGTGCTTTTGGGGATTGGTTTTTCAGATGTCTTGTTTCTGTTCCAATAGAAGGCAGCATGTCTACCTTAATTGCTTTTTTTTAGTTACAACTGAAATGTTAAAATGTTAAATTTTTCTTAATTCTGTCGTCTGGGAAACACTACAGAAATAACTTTAAACTAAGAGCACCTGGTTATCACTTCCAGGATTTTCGTTGACTTTTTGGGCCCTTTCCTTACACTTAGTTAGGAAAGCATGACTTACTGTTTGTTCTGATACACTTTGTTTTATCTGAATAACATGGCTTCCTATTATATTTTCAAAGACATATAAATTGTGTTTCTTCTTAGTCCTTTACTATTTAGTGTTCCCACTATGCTATTGAGAAGCTTGTCTTGCATGTAAGTCAGACTTCATTTTTGAAGTAGCTAGCTTCCTTCAGTACATACTTTCAACTTCACTATAGAAAGTTTTTTCCTTGAAATTTGGCAGATTACAATGAGTGCACCAAATAAAGCGCTAGAACTACAGCTGCAAATGAAACAAAATGCTGAAGAGCTGCAGGATTTTATGAGAGAATTGGAGAGCTGGGAAAAAGATATTAAAGAAGTGGATTCTGAACTAAGGAAACAGAGTGGTGTCCCAGAAGAGGTAAAAATCACAAATCCAGTGTCAATATTAACTCAGCTATTCGTAATGTGATAGTGTTTATAATGATTAGTTCGTGCTTCAGCAAAATTACATGTGTTGACTTAAAATACCAGAATAGAAGGTATGAGCTAACCCAGCTGACTGCTTCCTTATCTGAAGCAGACCAAAGATTCCTCTAAACTGTTCCACCAGCAGAACTGTGGAGGTGATGGGGCCAGTAAATTTTTAATCAGTTCCAGGTAAGTATAGGAGTATATTTCTGTTTGCAGCATCAGTATTACTTATTTATTTCTGAATTTTAAAGTATTGGTGTTACTCTTCAGTGATACTCTGCAAAGAGTTGTCTTCTAAAACTTTGTCTCATATGTGTAATATTTGCTATTATTATGTATTGAAAGATTTATACTTGCTGTGCTTAGTGGTTTTGTAGAGTTCCTGAAAACAGCTTGCTGGATGGATTTCTAAAATAGAACTAGCCACTAGGTACAAGTACTATATTTGGATATAGGTGCTGTAGATTCTTCAATACACGTGAATTTCACACATCTGTTTTATAATAAATTACTTATTTCAATTTAGAATTTGCCACCAATTCGAAACAAGGCTTTTAAGAAAAAGAAGAAAAGCAAAAGTAAAATCCCTTCAAAGATAACAACAGACGAAAACAAGAAAAACAAGATCAAGTCATATGATTATGAAGCATGGGGAAGACTCGATGTGGTGAGTTGAAATATTTGCTTGTTAAATTAGTCTTTTCCCCAGTTGATTCTGTCCTAAACAAGATTTTCTTATAGTGCTGAGAGTTCATTTCACAAGTCAGTATCTTACTGTGCTGGGTACTGTATGAACATAGAAAGTAGCTTTCTTCCAAAAAGGTTATGTGTTTAAAATTAGGAATATTGAGAAATATCAGTTTTCTATTGACTGTGCTCACGTCCAGCAGGTTGAATTTGACTTTAGGGGGGAAAAATGGTTTACTGATAGACCTATTAAAAGGTCATAATTCTAGTATAATATAAGACTAAACACAGCTAGCAGTATTAGAGGATAGATCTATTTTGAAGTGTGGAATACTCCTTAATAAAGAGGACTTAAGCAGTAGAGATTTTTTAAAAATGCACTACTAATTCTCCTGAAGTCTTGCTTGATTTATTTTGTATTGTTAAATTATAACAAAATAATCCATTTTTATCTGATTTCAGGATAAAATACTTGAAGAACTTGATAAAGAAGATAGTACTCATGATTCTGTATCTCCAGAATCAGACTCTGAGGAGGATGGAATCCGTGTAGATGCAGAAAAAGCTCTTGCAGAGAAGGAAAAGGTTATTGCATTATAACTGTTTGTTATACTCAATATTGCAGCCGGTTCTGTTTAATATCTCTATCAATGATCTGGGTGAGGGGGATCAAGTGCACCCTCAGTAAGTTTGCAGACAACACCAATTTGGGTGGGAGTGTTGACCTGCTTGAGGGTAGGACGGCTCTACAGAGGGATCTGGACAGGCTGGATCAATGGGCTGAGGCCAATGGCATGAGGTTCAACAGGGACACGTGCAGGGTCCTGCACTTGGGTCACAATGACCCCATGCAGCACTACAGGCTTGGGGAGGAGTGGCTGGAAGGGTGCCTGGCAGAAAAGGACCTGGGGTGTTGGACAACAGCTGGCTGAATATTTGCTTGAGCGGGGCTAGAATAATGGCCGTGGTCAGAGAGCCTCTGTCATTTATTTCAGTGGCCAGTGTGCCCCAAACCGTGACAGCCTGAGGTGTGCCCAGGTGGCCAAGAAGGTCAATAGCATCCTGGCTTGTATCAGAAATAGCGTGGCCAGCAGGACTAGGGAAGTGATTTTCCCCCTGCACTCAGCGCTGATGAGACTGCACCTTGAATACTATGTTCAGTTTTGGGCCCCTCACTACAAGGGGTTGCTGGTGCTGGACATTGAGGTGCTGGAGTGTGTCCAGAGAAGAGCAACAAAGCTGGTGAAGGGTCTAGAGCACAAGTCTCACAAGAAGCAACTGAGGGAACTGGGTTTGTTTAGCCTGTGGAAAAGGAGGCTGAGGAGGAGACCTTATCATTCTCTACAACTACCTGAAAGGAGATTGTAGCGAGGTGGGTGTTGGTGTCTTCTCCCAAGTAACAAGTGATAGGACAAGAGGAAACGGCCTCAGGTTGCACTAGGGGAGGTTTAGATTGGATATTAGGAAAAATTTCTTCACCGAAAGGGTTGCCAAGTATTGAAACAGGGCTGCCCAGGGAAGTGGTTGAGTCACCACCTCTGGAGATATTTAAAAGACTGGTAGATGTGGAGCTTAGGGACATGGTTCAGTGGTGGACTTGGCAGTGCTAGGTTAATGGTTGGACCTGATGATCTTAAAGGTCTTTCCAACCTAAATGGTTCTATGATTTGCATGTTAGCAAGTTAGACATAGAAGCTTTTGTAGTTTCTTTGAAAAGATTGTTCACTGAGACTATACTTCTGGTGGAAGAATTGCCTGTTTCAGATTTTTTATGTCTGTTTTCCTGACTGTTATTCCAACATACATAATTCTCACTGCATTTTGGTTTCTTCTTAACACCAATTGCAGCAAGGCCTGTTGGACTCTGCTTAGTGTGCAGTTATGATGATTAATGTATTGGTGTGTTTTTGCTTTGAAAAGCTGGATTGCTATATAGAATTGCCATATGGATCAAACTGGTTTAGCTGAACACAAGGTCTGAATGCCCCAAACTAAAACACCAAGAATTTAACATTAGTTCCTTCGCGAGGCCATTTACATCTGGGAATGATGGGCGAGCTTGTGTGTCTTCTCTACCTAGGCAATGGCAAGTTGATACCAGTTCAGTTTTACCTTATTTTGCAAGTAGAATACAAGAAGACCTATCTCGTGTTTCATTGCCATGTGATAGAGGCTAAGTTAGTTGTATGACAACTTCTGTAGGTTTGAGAAACTTCTTTGTTTATATTGACCTAACACCATCTGTCAGTCCATACTTCAGTAGAATTTCTTGGATTTTTTTTTTTTATTTTCTGCATGGGTGACATCTGCCTTCTTTTTCCGCTGTTTTAGAAATTCCCTGGTGTACAATCTGCAGTTTACACGGAGAAGTTGAGATGTCTTTGGCCATTATCATCTGGCTGTGGTGAAGCAGCTGAGGACACGAGATAGATGTTGTGGCCCAAAGGAGGCAGAAATGAGAATATTTACCTTGAAAAGCAAAGATGCCTAATCTAGTTACTAAAAACTAAAAAAAAACCCTTCAGTAATTCTCTATGGCAATTTAAGCAGCTATGTATGTGCTTGTTATAGGTTTCTGGAAGTGACCTACAGATACTGAAAATCAGTATATAATAAAACCGTCTTATTGCGTAAATCATGAGAAATATTTAATATGGAATTCTTAGAATATTGTCGTTAAAAGAAATATTTTACAGTAAAGCAGTACTCTGTGAGAAATGTTAAACAAAAAAGTTTGAGCATTCCAAAATGCAAGCTTTGAATTTTTTCACCAAAAGTTAGTAATGTGTCTATCAATGTACAGTGATTTGCTAATAAGACTTTCTTCTGTTCACAGGGTAATAACTACTTTAAACAAGGGAACTTTGATGAGGCTATAAAATGCTACACTAGAGGGATGCATTCTGATCCATACAATCCGGTATTGCCCACAAACAGAGCATCGGCTTTTTATAGAATGAAAAAGTAAGACTTGTATTATTAAAACCTTAATATTTTCTTGTTTCAAATGCTACCTTCAGGTTTTTTTGTCTGATTTTAAGTCTTGATTATATTCTTTACCATACTGTAATACAACCTTCGATAGACTGTTGTTGCAACCTGCTTTGCAGTTTCAAAGTAAAACAGAAATGGCCAGGATAAGGAATCTGGTAGTCTTAGTGTTTAATTTGCCTTTCAGATTTAGTGAGCTCTATTTCTAAGGCTGTAATTTGTTTTAGGGGAAGAAAGGGTATAGGAGAGTTGGTTATTATTTCTGTTGCAGTAGGGATTGTTGACCTCTCTTTTCCTTTCCTGTGTTCACATGTTCTGAATTGAGAGATGTTTAAATACTTGTTCTATGCTCCTTCTGAATCACGCAAGATTTTCACTTTAGAGAGAACCTGTAAAGCTTCAGAGTAAGCTAGCTTGCTGAAGTTTTTGATTTTGTTACTCAGATGTGTCCAAACTAACTCACTCGTATTTTTGATAGGTTTTCTGTTGCAGAATCTGACTGCAATTTAGCACTTGCTTTAGATAAAAATTACACAAAGGCTTATGCCAGAAGAGGGGCTGCTCGCTTTGCTTTGAAAAATCTTCAAGGTGCTAAAGAAGGTGGGTCTTTTTTAAATTCTTTCCTTAAAATATATACAAATGGTTTGTTTATTTGCTTGATTAAAGCTTGTGTGATTTGCTTATTTGGTGTAGGAATTTAATTTTCTTTGCTTGATTAAAGCTTGTGTGATTCGCTTATTTGGTGTAGGAATTTAATTTTCATTTCCTGTAAACAAATAAATGAAATGCCATATTGCGTATTCTTCTGGCAAGGTAAAATTCAAGCAGCACATTTAAATGATTACTGTAGGTATTGGAAGTTCTAGAATAGTTCAGCTTTAAATGTATTAGAATAATATGTTCTCTGTAGTAGCTCAGGCTTTTTAGGTAACTACAAAAAAGCGTTATCTCAAAAGAACGCTCTAAGTGTATACGCTGGTTACTGGCCTGTAGTTCCTACCTGAAACATTGTTTTCTGATCTTCTGATAGATTATGAGAAAGTTTTGGAGCTGGATGCAAACAACTTTGAAGCAAAAAATGAACTGAAGAAAATCAATCAGGTAATAAGATAAATAGGCCCTAAGATAAATTAATGCACCCTTTTCAGTTTATATCTGTATCAACTTATAACAGGAGCTGAATTCAACAAAATCTCATGTGCTTTTTCTGGCATTTGAAGTTCACTGAGGTCAAAATCTGTAATTGAGTTTCTTTTGGATTAACTAGCATGTATGCAAACATCTGCGTAATGGTGGATTAGAAGACTAAGACTGGATGTGTGCACCAACATCTGTGGGGTTGTTTGTTGGTTGTTTTTTTTAAAATCTTCCCTCAGATGTTTTTTCTGCTTTCTGCATTAATGTTTTTTTTTTTTTTCAGTCATGCTTAGTATTTTAATACAAGGTAGCACTACATATGAAACAACCTGTGTGTTCTTTTGGCTGTAAAGCTGAACTGCTGTCCTGCTTTTAGTCCCACTAATTGCTGTGGTCTGCCAAACCAGAAAGTGGGTTTAAGCTTAGCAGAACATAATACTCTACTGTAAGTCTGATTCCTTTCTCGACAGGGAGAGAATGTTGATTATTATGACCTTAATAAATACAAGCTCACCTGTCACTACTGTGTGAATGCTTATACCTCTTCAACTGTAGTTTTGAAAGTGCTTGAAAAAATTATTTTCAGAATGAAGACCCAACATCTCCAGTAATTGAAGAAATAAATGATTTGTGAATTGGAATATATATAGCCAGGTTTCATGGGTCACTTTACATTGTGATTCAGCATTTACTTCTTATTTACCAAGTAATATTCTGACTCACAGTCCCTCATAGAAATACATTTTCAAGAGTGGTTTAGAATGATCTCTTCAATTTGCATTCAACTGAGAATGCAGACACTTCTGCTGAAATGCTTGGCAGAGCAGAGAGGAGTTACTTATTGAGGAAAAAATTACATCTTTGCAGGCTCTGTCATCAAAAGAAAGTTCGGAACAGAAAGAGTTTGGAGATGTGATCAGACCAGAATTAACAGACGAAGAGAAGAAGCGCATTGAAGACCAGCAGCTCAAGCAGAAGGCTATTACAGAAAAAGATCTGGTAAGTCACGGGTTCTGATGGAACAGGAGAGAACTAGCGAAGAAAAGTGTTGTGTTGTGCTGTTAGCTATGCAAATGTGTAAAACCTGATGCTGTCTTGACGTTCATAAATACAATGTCCTTGATATAACCTTAATTGTTTCCCATTTTGGGCTCTGTAGGAGGGGAGGGGGACATCGAGTTTTCTGTGGACTCTTCTGGAGAAATAATTATACAAGGCAGCTTTTGTTTAAGATAAATCATTTTAAGATAAATTTCAAGTATGTGCTAAGATAAGAAGTTGAACTGTGTTTCACAAAGATCCCATTTCTCCACTGTTATATGCATCTTGACCCCCACTTGTCCAAGTAGAGTTGTGGACTGTTTCTTGTGTTTTCATACCTCTGATTACATGGTGAAAAGTCGTTATAAAAAGGATTTCAGGGAGTGCAGGCAGCAATGACAATAAAAGTGTATTTCTGGATATATGGTCTCAGTTCACAGTTGGCTTATTGATTTTTCCCTCTCTCCACTGTTGCAATTAAGAAATAACATTATCAACTAAAACATAATTTTCTTTCTGCTTTTTAACTTCTGACTTTTTATCAATATTCAGGTTGCCTCTGCTGGTTGTAAGAGGTAATTGGTAGGAAAAGAATGAAAGCATACATTAAGTAGGTAAAAGGAACGAAAGTTTGAAAAGGCCACCGAAAAGAAATTTTGTTCTGGTGCAATACTTCATTGGTAGCAGAGTTGGCTCACTGTGGGCCTGTTCCTGGCAACATGGATCCTGTCAAGTCTGAACTGCAGCCTTTTTTGCCAGTGCATAGAGTAGTAGAGATGGTAATAGATGGCTTTATATTAGTCCTGAGAAGCAAAAGATAATCTTAGTCTCTTGGAAACGAAGTAATGTAATTTTGTTGTTAGCATTCATTAGAAAAGAACAGCAACATTTGGGCCCAAGTAATATTTGAGGATAAGAGTTTCATGGATGTAGCAGGATAAAGATGGATTTGTGCAGTGCAGAAAGTCATGTTGAAAGGGGAATTGTAAAGGTTCAGCTCGTGTTTAAATTCAGGAGGTACAGGGTGGCTTATCCTGCACATCAAGAGTAAAGATAAATCACAAATTGTAGACTTATGAGTCTGTACTTAAACTATGCATGTAGAAACATATTTTTTTTAATCCTTGAAGTACTAGAAAAAACTAGGATATTTTTGGGGGTCTGCCGCCAAGCTTAGATACAAAGAAATATGCCAGAAGTATCTGCCCTGATGTGGGTTTTCTTTGTGATCCATCTTGTTGATATTACAATCCTGTCTACTAAAAAGGATAAGAAAAGCTTATCACACTTGATCTTTCTCAACGCTTTTTTTTTTTTTCTGACCTATATATTACAGGGTAATGGTTATTTCAAAGAAGGAAAGTATGAGACTGCAATAGAATGTTATACCCGTGGTATAGCAGCAGATGGCACCAATGCGCTTCTGCCAGCTAACAGAGCCATGGCTTATCTAAAGATCGAAAAGTAAGTAGGAGTGCATGCGCTATACTGTTTCTTTCTTTGTTGTGAACTAGACATAAGAATGATCCAGTAGATTTTCACTTAAGTTACAGTCACTCCTTCTAATTCTTTCTAGAATTCAGTATGGAATAAATAGTATTGAAGACAGTAAGGGAGAGAGAACAGCTCAGTATGTGTGATCTTACAATGCATTTCATAGGAAAGAAGTTCTGAGAGAATAAAATAGCATCAGTATGAAATTATAGTCTCTGAGGTTTGATTTTCATTCTTTTATGTGTGTAAAATTCTAGATACTCATCTTTCTCAAAGAACCTGCCCAAAGCTTTGTCTTTTTTGACTATAAAATCCTGCTACTAAATTTTGCACTGTAAAAAGAAGTGGATTATAACTTTTGACTTCAAAAGGAATGTATAGGAGCTTTTTCTGGAAATTGTAATATTTTAAAAATATTTTCCTTTAACTCCAGTAATGGAGACATGTATGAACAGTTAGTTTATTTTTATTTAAGCTTTATTCACATAATCCAGTAACAGTAATCATATAATCCAGTAACATTCATGGTTTCTAGCAAATAAGACAAGTTAAATATGACCATTTTTGAAGTGTGAATCTTTTTTCACTCCCTGCTGGTGTGGTAGTTTAAACCTTTTAAACTGGTAGCATGAGAAGCAGAGAGCTGAGCATTATGTTGGTCATCTGTTCTAACATGACGTGGCTGGTTATCTGTAGAGACAATAGATTGATCTAAAATGATGAGATTATAAAATAGCTTGCACAGGTAGTATTTCTGACACAATATTTGTAATTTAGTTCTGAAGCCATAGAGGACATCATAATGCAAATAATGTTCTCGAAGGATCAGAGGAAGTGATGCATTAATTGAATGACCAAGCAAGAAAATCAATTCTGTACGATAAATCAGTGTATCATGGGTCTTTACATTTCAAAGAGGACCCAAACATAAAAGGCAACAGAAGCTCATTGGTATTCTTATGAACCTGCAAAAAAAAAAAAAAATCCAAAACTAACTGTTTCCATAAATTCAATGATAAATGGAAGGAGGAGAGAAGGAATGAATGAAAATACTTAAATATGCGCATAGTGGAATCATGATCTAATGTGACTAAATATAACTGGGATGAGGAAATTCGATCTTACAATGAAACAAATTACTTTAATGCAAGGATAAACTGACATCTTATTCTCAAATAGTTAAGGACAAGTCACAGAAATTCAGATGTAGATGAATTTATTCTCATATATGCTCGCTTCTCCTTTCTTGTATATTTTTGTTTGTAATGGTATTTCTGGTTTTCCAATGTACAAAGCTATGATGCTGACTTGAATTTTAAAGCTATTTAATGTTAAAAGTAGACTCTGCTCTAATAGGCTTTAAGCACTTATTTTCACAGAGGAAGTGAATTTCTCTGTGATAAAAAGAGTCAGCAGTGTGTCATGAGATACCTAAAGATTTGGCTGAAATTTCAAAGTGCTGAGAAATCATCTTTTATATGTTTACTTTTATTTTATGTTTTAGCACAGTGATATGTGTTCATATATATATATAGGTAATTAAGATCTGTCTTCGTATTTTAATTGGTTTGGGTAGCTCTGTCTTTTCAGTTGAAACTGATTATTAATTTTGTACTACTCTTTTGGTGAGATATGAAGAGGCAGAAAATGACTGTACACAAGCTCTGCTCTTAGATGCCTCCTATTCTAAAGCCTTTGCAAGAAGAGGAGCTGCCAGAGTTGCTCTTGGAAAGCTAAAAGAAGCTATGCAAGGTAGGACTTTAAATTAGCTTAAGTGTAATAGGTAAGAGATGAGCGTAAGTACATCCTGATTTATTTTTTTTTTTTGTGGCTTCTAATAGCAATTAAATCAATTGCTGACTAATTGAGGTTATCAGTGCAAGAGTTAAAAATGGTGGGGTTTTGTTGTGTTTCATTGAATATGTATAAAACCTCCTGTGTTGGTATCCACATGATCTGAAGACAGTTTTGTATGAAATTAGAACTATTGTTGCTTATGATAAGTACTAAGAAATAACTTGAAAAATGTGTTTAAAAACTAGGTCATTGTATAAGCATTAGGATGACTTACCCGCCTTTAATTATTTTAGACCTGTGAGAGGAAAATGAAAGGTTTGAAAATTTCCTAGTTACTTTGTAACTTGAAGTGTCTACAGTTTTCATTTGTTGTTTTTCACTCAGATTTTGAAGCTGTTTTGAAGCTGGAACCTGGAAATAAACAAGCAATAAATGAACTCGCTAAAATAAGGAATGTATGTATGCTTGTGCTCTTTTTTTTTTGTAAGCCTATAGTAATAGAATGTTATACTTTATTATGTATTTTTTAACATATCTTATAATTATTCCTTAAACTTACGATTTTTTGGACAACTTACCATTTTTTCAGGAATTAGCTGAGAAAGAACAGTGGACTCATCAAGAATATCCTGCAGTATTGATAAAAGAAACGGAAATAAAAAATATAGTGAAAGTGATTGATAATCCATTACACGTGAAATCAACAGTAAGTTGTTTTGTTTTGAGAGATGCTTTCTGTAATGATGGGAAAAGTAGAAGTTAAAGTCCTCTTGTTTATTTTGTAGACTAACTCCTGATCTAACATCTTGCCTGTGGAAAGCTCAAAATTTACAGATTTACTCTCTTAATGTTTTTCAAGAACATAATTTCAGCATTTCCATGTGTGTGTAACGATAGTGGTGGTGTAAGCGTTCAGCCTGTGGTACCACACTCGGGAAACATGGTGTATGCATATATATATATATATAAAAAAATATGAAACAGGGAGACAACCAAATCCTGGCTAACATTGCAGTAGAGACTAAAGGGGAGGCAGTTGAGTCTTGGTGTTTCATTGCAGACTTGAGAAGGCTCTGGGTAAACTTCCCTTCTTTTCATCTGCTGTTTATAGTTTCTATAGCAGCTGTAGAGGTAACAAGACATGTTGCCTACCCATGTGATATGCTGCTGTCACCTAGGGCTAATTCAACAGCCTTAAGCCTGCATTTTCATCCACATAAACTGTAGAATAGCTGGATTTTGGTTTTCAAGAAGTGATATTTTTGGACTATAAATTATCTGTGGTTATAGTCAGATTAATGAGTTAGATATGACAAAATATGATAACAGAGTAATATCAGCTTTATGCATTAGGCTTCCCCTTTTAATACATTTAATCTTCGTACAGTGAGTTACGTAAATACAAAACATACTCATACATCATATGGAGCACTGTAGTGTTCTACTCTTGATGATTTCAAAATGTTTGTTTACCTCCATTAAATATGTAATTTGGATGGATAGTTTCAGTAGAAAATGTGTGATTATTTTGATCCTTGGAGGGGGGGAAGTATTATGTGCTATTTCTAGAAACCTAAATTAATTGGTTGTGAAGTAGCTGAAATACTATAGACAGTTATATTAAGTTTTCAGTTTAGCTACTAAATTAAGTGGAGATACTAGGTTGATTGTCTTTTCCTTGTTCTGTTAAGGTAGAACAAGTATAGATGAAGCATCTGTGCTTTCAGTACTGCCCAAGGATTGCAGAGAGAACTGTACTTTTGTTTCATATCCACCAGTCAGCCTCCCAGTCATAGCACAGTGACGAGATGATACATTGTCAAAGTGAACAGTGTGTTGTTTGTCAATACACCTATTATACGGGGGCTTTTTGGCATGATTTAAAGCAGTTTGCAAGCTGCTGTGAAGACTTATCATGGATTTGCATTAGAGCTGGACAGAGAAATCTGCCATTTCTGGAAATCTGAATTGTTGAGTATGTTTAATAGTGTGTATTTGCATCTGTATTTCTAGAGCAATATACACAATGTTACAATTCAGGAAATGAAATTCCAAAGTAAAAGGTGATGAATTCCTCCCCTCTTCCCCCTGCCTCCCCCAGTGGTGCTTCCTTATAAGACCTGTGAAGGTGGTGCTAGGTGATGCTCAAAAATAACAGTGATGATGCAGAGATTGAATAAGCTGAAGCATTTTAGTTAGCGTGTCCTCTAGTGGTGGAGTTAATTGCCTTATGATGTGTGTAACTTGGTCAACCGTCAGGGCTGAGTTACAGATACTTACCATCTCAAAATTTTAAGTTGAGGGTCAGTGCCTATGTTGCTGGATATTTACTTGTCAAGCTTTGTAATTTAGCTAAACCAGGTCGTTGGTCAAAACATATGGTAGTCCTTGCCCATTGAACTTTAGTAGGGGGGGAAAAAAAAAACACCTTTTTTTTTTTTTTTATTACTGTGAAAACAGAATGCAGATTCTGAGATCCTCTGGAGTAAGGATACACTAGTTTGTGAGAGTAAAGCAATAAATGATCGTATAAGGCTTCCTGTAGAATGTCATGAAGTTTCCTTTTTTGCAGTTTAACTTTATTGAAAGTATCTTCTATGCGCACCACTACAGATGAATTTGGTTATCATGAGATTATTTAAAATTAAATACAACTGTTTATCTGGGGCCTGTGTATACACTGATGTTGAGGCTACACATGTGACATGGGGTATGTCTTCTCTTTAGAAGCCTTTGCAAAGAATAGCCATTGAAGAAGTTGATGATGACACACCAAGTAGTGATTTGCCCAGCACTATGTCTTTAGTCAATAACTGGAGGAATTCAATGAGTGGTGAAACAACAGAGAATCTAGATCAGGATGATCAGTTGACTGCAATGGACATTCCAAAAGCAAAGCACTTAAAAATAGAAGAAATCAGTGATACTTCACCATTACAGTAAGTATAAAAATTCTGATCCTCTTTTTAAAAGGTAAATGTGATTTTCATTTTCAGATCTGTACATGTGATGAGGTATTGAAGATAGCTTGGAGAATTTGAATTAAAAATAAAGTATTGAAAAAAAAAATGCAGTTCTTGCACATCTACCTCTTTGAACAAGTAGTGGTTGAGACAAGTATGATCTATTTAGCATCAGATGGAAAACTAGTCTTGTTCTTTCATTTCAAATATAAAGAGATTAAGAATATTTTCGTGTATGCTGTACTCTCTTCCTTATGCACTTCATCTTCCCTAGCTGTGGTTTTTATGTGTAATGTTTTAGAGTAGAGTCTGAGCAGAGTTCAAACATTCTTTGCACACCAGTTGTATGAGAAAAAAGCAGCAGATGAGTGTCACCTCTCTTTCCTCTGCTGAGCAGGCAGCTGATAACTTCAGGTTTGCTTGGAGTTCCCAAGTCCCACTGTGTTATCTAAGCAAACTCAAGTCTGGCTGGCTGAAACCAGACTGGTTTTTTTTAGAAAAGATGAATCAAGTATTCTGTAATTTGAAGGTTTTTTTTCAGATACCTGCTTAAAATAAAATATTTTTAAAAATAATTTTGATTAGTATTTTAGATTTTTAATGAATTCAAAGGTCTCCAGTTAGGTCTCACTGTAGGATTTCCTTAAATGTTTTCTTGATTATGCGTTTCAAAATCTCTCTGAAGGCTTCCTGCTAGTGTGAAAAGAAGTTCATCAGTGTTGCATCCATCTTTCCCTGTGAACAAACAGAGAGAAAAAGAAACCAGAAAGTCATTTAAATCAGATTCTCCAGTCCCTGCCATTCCTGCAAATTCTTTCCAGCTTGAGTCTGACTTTAGGAAGTTGAAGGACTGCCCAGAAAATATGTACTTGTACCTGAAGGTATGAAACATAATATTGATTGACAGTGCTTGGACAAGTTTCTTCAACTGACATTGAAGAAACAGTGCAAACTGAAGTGGAAAGGGTAGCTATGTTCAGAGTGTCTTAACAGTGTGCAATAGTCCCTTTCGTTAATTGCCTTCACATCATACTATGTAGTTTGATCCACATTTGAGTATTTCTCCTCGTGTGCCTGACTTTTCACTTACCTTGCTTTGAATACAATCTGCATAGTCTGTTTCTTCTTTCAAACATGGGCACTGGTTCTGTAAAGACTTAAATACATTAGTAACCATATTAAATTCTAATTTTTCAAATGGATACTTCTAGGTTAGGCATAGCAATGTTCTTATCTCTTTAAACTGAACAAATGCTTGAAACACATCAATCTACTTAATGTGTACTTCTGCTTATATATTAGACAAAAAAATTGCTTAGAGTTATTTTAAAAGAACTTAGCAATGATAATCACAAAAAAAGCCACCAAAACCCCCAAATTAATGTTCAGTGTCTAATAGTGCAAGTGATTTGGGTTTGCTTGCTTTCATGCACTTCAGCATTGTCTAAGACATCCTAAAAACTCATTTCTAATTCTTATAACTCAACTGTGTCTTTTTGCCTAAAAATAACACTTTTAATTTTTTCAAAGCAAATAGAGCCTTCGCTTTATCCAAAACTGTTCCAGAAATCCTTAGACCCAGACTTGTTCAACCAGATACTGAAAATTCTACATGATTTCTACATTGAGTAAGTTTAACTTCTCCTTTGTTTTACATTGCTTATTGCTATTCTGGCTTTTTGCCTCCTTCTCCCCCCGCCCCAGTTCAATCATTTCCAGCGTGCATCATTACACGAGCATGATGCAATAATTGGAATGATGCATTTGTTCCTTCTTAAGAAACTAAACATATCTTGAAAAATCAGATAGAAAAGAGGTAACGAAATAAATAGCCTTTACTGTATGTCGTTGAATTCAGTTCTGCTAAATAGCATTGGAAAGTTAATATTAGACTCTATGAAATAGTTTTTGTTCATACTACTGTGCGTGTTCTGTTATCACATATAACTGCACAATATTAGCCTTCTAGATTAACTTTCTAAAGCGGCGAAATACAGAGGGTTTCATTTTTGTGCAATGCTGCTTGTAATGTGTGCTGACTTTTGTTTTTAATTACTTGCTAACATTTAACAGTAGCCTGTAGTAAATGGCTATTGGAGCTAGAAGTTCTGATAAGGCAGGACCTGACAATTCTGAAATTTCTATCCGTGCTACCATTAGAGTCTTAAGTTCATTTTGCCTCTCAGAGGCAGGGTGCAGCTTCTCTGAATTACTCTGCCTGAGAGTCCACAATCAGAATGTTTTTAGGGTGGTGGTTTATGGGGAAAAGCAAATGTAAATGAATGTTAGCCTTTCCCTTGGTTTCTTTAAACGTAAATATCCATCATGTGGTGAAACGTGCCATCTTAAGATGGTCCTGTGTTTGATGGTATGACATATGAAGGCTAGGAAGTTGAAATTGTTTGCAGTAAGGTAATAGACATTTCTTCTGGAGGGAGACAGGACAAGTTACGGAAGAAAAATACTTATTTGTTACTATTTGTAACAAAGACAGTGTCTGTTTACTGTTGAACAGAAGAATGTAAAAACACAATCTAGGAGTTTTCTGTATGGATAACAATGAGGGCAACTGTAATGTGGTGCTTCTTGCTGGGCTTCCTATGACCACAAGTGCTACTTCCTCTCACACTCCCCAATATGTATAAAAATTGAGAAGTTATGGCAAAGTGTAAGCATTAAATCATACAATAGCTATCCTGTACATTAACAGCAGTCGGTTTGCATCAGTCTAGGTTATTGTATTCCTTCACTCTTGCTCTGTATCAGAAGGATACTTGCATAAAGATTTCTGGATATTGAAATTTTACATCGTGGGTGGAAGAATGAACAGGAAAGATGAGAAAGGCAGGAAATATGAGAGAGAGAGAAGGGAGTTCCATTGGTTCTTTAATTTCTTGGTCCTGAAGTCTTTAATATTGCTTGCAGCTACTAAATCTTTCTAATCAACAGTAGTTATTTTTATATTTCTAATAATCTTCTGCAGGAAAGAGGAGCCATCGCTCATCCTTGAAATCCTCCAGAGGCTATCTGAATTAAAAAGATTCGATATGGCAGTAATGTTTATGTCAGGCTCAGAGAAAAAAAGTAAGTAATTCAGTAGCATTTTTTTTAAAACGTTTGTGATACTGTAGAATCTAGTAAGAAATACGTAAAATTTAGTGCTGTTCTTGTTTATTTTGTGTAATAATCAGTTAAGGTTAGTTATCTTAACTTTTTGATTGTTTTAGAAATTAACATGAATGTCATGTAATTTTTCTTAGTCTTTTTATTCCTTATTATAATTGGTAAGACTTGAAAACTATAGCTTAATCCTTTTGTTTTTATCAGCAATACCACTGAATTTTAGTCTGATATCATAAGCTTCCCTAGCATTTCAGTTTGTAGTCGGTGACGTTAACAATTTATGAGTTTGTATGCAATCTCAAATCTGACGTGCAAGGTATCCAAATTACACATTTTCCACAATTTACAACCATTTCTTGGCAATCTTGACTTTACTGTTGGCCAAAAGAATGCCGACATCTCTAAACCAATCAGCCTGTTCACCTCTGTCCTGTTCTTGAGACATCACTTAAATTAGTTTGCAATTCAGGTTGACATTGGCTTGAGTTTATGGTTTATAAAAGGGGTTTTTGTCTCAAACATTTCCTTTATTTAGCACACCAGACAGACTATGTAATGGTGAGACACTTAGAAGCAAAACATTTCTGTGGGACCAAATAATGTCAAATTTACTATCTACAGCTGAGTTTCACTAACAACCATTATACTTTCAAAATTTTGATACGTGAATCCCCTGAAAGTAAAATGACTTGTTTGACTTGCTGAAGTGCAAGTAAATTCCTCTTATGAATTGCATTCACACCTTTAACCTGATATAAGCTTTATCTGCCATCTGGCATTAACTTTTATCTTCTGCATTTAATGGCATAGTGCCAAGACAGCAAACAAAATAAAAGCTGCATGTTTATGTTGTCAGGATTATACACCTGTTTAAGGAAATGTTGTTAGACAGCTGGTGGGCATCAAAACAAAGTGAGAGCTTTCCTTTGCTACTTTTTTCCATCCTCTCCGTAGTTCTAAAAATTTACTTGCATTTCAGCTATGTAATCCAAACCTTACTCTCACTGAGGAATGAATTGGACTAATTTAGCTTAAGAGTGTGAATAGCAAAAATAACAGTTTATGTTGGGATTTTCTTTTACAGTTACACAGGTATTGTTCAATCATGTGAATCACATGGGATTGAAAGATACTTCTGTTGAAGAGTTGGAGAAGAAATACGGCATTTTCTCTTAGTGAGATGACTGACGTAAATTTCTGCTTTTGTGCTTCTTTCATGTGGAAATCAGCTAAAGAAGCCTATAAAGACTGGAATTTTGTTGCTTTTGTATAAGTAATGAAACTCTTAAACTTGGTTTAGCTGAATGGCAAGTGCCTGAAGAGATAATTATTTTGTTCTGCAGGTACATTTTCTTTCCAGCACCTGAAACAGTACAGAGCTACATTTTCTTCAGTGGAATCTGTTTGCCTAAAAAACAATTGGGTAGACTGGCATTCAGGATGAGGACTGTAGATAGAGATCTTTATTAAAAGGAAAAAAAAGTATTTATAAACATGTCTTTGGTAAGAATGAAATTGTGTATATTACAAATGTGCATGTTTTTTATTTTAGAAAATAAACTGATTGTTGAATTGAAGATACTAAATTTTAAGGATTTTTTTTTTAATTAAGGTGCCTAAATCGTTCTTCTCTAAGGATACAGCACATTAGAACATATAATGTGCAAAGTGAACCTGAGGTATGATGTCCAAAATATTCCAGAATTCTTTTACTTGAGCTTACCCAAAAGCTGAGGTTTTGACAACTGAGGTGCTCCTGTGAACCTCAGCTGTAAATGCAGAATAGAAGGAAGCCAAATACTGTAGAATTAAAATGCAAGTGTAGGGATTGTCTTCTTCAGGGAGTACTTTTAAAATATTCTGATGAAACTTACCTTTTGGGTAAGTTGTTCCTAACCAGGTAAAGCCCTTAAGAAGCCTCAGGAAACTAAGCAGGATACCTTCCTAGTATGAGGAAGACAAAGGCATGAGATCATCTGAAATTCTTAAATGAGATAAGAAATAGTGCTAGGCATAATAAACTATTCATACTGTTCTCATGACCATAGGAAGGAAAAAACAGCACTTGTCAAGTATACTGTAAGATTACACTGCAGTATCCAGGTAGTGGCATCTAAAAATGTCCCTTTGTCTCTAGGCTTGACCGCTCCCTTTCATCCTGCTGGCACTAATATTCTCTCAGCTTCCTTTCATCCTGATTCAGCCCTTGTGCTTTACTCATGCTTCTCTGACCATGGAAGTCTTCTGACATTAAAGCTTTTGTTTTGGTAGTTGTGCTGTTTTTCAGAGGAATGATTAAACAGCTATAGCATTCAAAAAGACTTCAAACTTCCAAGATGGATTAATAGGAAAAGGTATGAGTGTTATCTTCTAGGTAGTCAGTATTAGAAAACTAATTTTAAAACATTTGCAGCTGTTGTAATGCCCTAGTTCAGATATAATCCGTTGGGTTTTTTTTTTTTAAAAAAAAAAAAAAGTAACTGAGCTACATCCTTGGGCTGGGTAGCAACTGACATGAATGAAGCACTAGATCCCTAAGGTAGCTTCCAATTAGCCCTGGAGCTGAGCACTAGAACAGCCAGTGTTATTGGGGAAATGGAAGAGCTTTTATGTAACGCTGCTTGCAGCTTACCTACAATGTGAACTGTTACCACTAGGTGTGTCCCAAGTTACTTGATAACTGGCTAATTCTTCCCCTTGATGTAAAGCAATTCTGATAATATATCAGGGATACTGCTGTAACTGATGGGGAGGGGATGGGGGGAGTAGTTACTAAAGTAGTTTTATACACCTTTGTAGATACACCGTACCTTCTTATGGACTGTAACGAGTTGTTCATTGTAGACCAGAGGTGTATGCCTGACTAGGTTATACTAATACAGCATTTGGTACATTCTCAGAAGCTGCTTCTTGAAGGTTGTTGGATGAAAATAGGTGCTTGTAGTATGGATCCTTGACAGTAAAAGCAAGATGACAGCAGAAAGATTTGAAAACTGTAGGCCAGGAATCACCTACAACTCCGCTTCACCCAGTTTGCTATGCTTTTAATGAGGATAAGCGACTATATTTGGTTTCTGGTCTCACTCCAGCTTTTATGGAGATTTCTGTTCAGGGTTTGTGCGTGGTAAGGAAGGCCGATTGAAAGGAGGCTGTTCATGCATGTCAGATTTGGTGGGGTGGATGGGTGGACCTGATTCATGTTGCTACTGAACTTAGGCCACCAAGAATTATCTTGAAAGTGGTATGCTACTGTAGCCTTTGGCTTGCATTTCTGAGTGTGACATCTGAGGGTGACTTGCTAAATCCCTGAGGTTACTTTTCAGTGCATAAAAACCAATGCATGATGGAGAGCAGAATGCAGGCATTCAGAGAACTGCTAGCTTTACTTGCTCCAGGAGATGGCAGTGTCTTTCCCTGCTAAACTGTTAAAGATTGCAAAATCTCAGAATTGAAGAATTTAGTGAACCATGGAGGAGATTCATAGATCTGAAGAAACACAAGAATTATTTTGGGGGAGAGAAGCAGATATTTATTTATTTATTTAAATCCAGCACCCTCTCAATGGAGTTATCCTTATTGTGTCAGGGAAAAAAAGTCTGAGGTAGACAGTATAAGGCAATTAAACAGTGCGGAATACTTGATAGCTCTTTGCTATGTTACAGCATTCAAGGTGTCAAAAATCTGACATCATGTTTGCTGCAGTGACTGATTCAGACTTGAGTTTTGAAGGATTCCTTTACTCACCAATATTAAATGTTATAATTTTCTAGACAACTTTTTAACTTGTCAGGATCATTTTTTTTTAATTTGATGTTGTCCTCCAGTAGATCTGGGAGGCATTCAAACTCCATATTGTCTATAGATTTCATTGTCTAAATTGTTAGACTATCAGTGGAGCTGATCCTAGGACATACTTTTGCAGAACATCCTTACAGCTTTCTGATCTCACCGTAGACTGACTTTATTTTTTTTCCTTTCTGATAACTCTAGCTAGCTCTGCATTCATACAGTAATAGATTCATCTGAGCTGTGTTTGTCTTGCTTGTAAGAATGTCCTGTGATGGTCAGTTGTCAAGATAAAGATATTTAATCTGCTTTTTCATTACACTACTGTGGAAGAAAGGATTTTAACACGACTTGTTCTTGGCTGACTTGTGTCAGTTACTGTAGAAAGCATAAATGAGTATAGTTTGAGTACTTGTTCCAAAATATTTTTTAGAATTAAAAATTAATGGTCTTGACTCTGGGCAAGAAGTTTTTGCTGTTTCTCATCTTCTGTATCTTTCTGTTTAAAACCAGGCATTTCAGCTTGCCAGTTCTCAAATAAAAGGCTACTTGTTTAACATCGTATTAATATAAGATTAATGTATCAATTTTTAACATATCTTACAGAGAAGTCTTTGGGGCCTAGAAAACTTGGGAACATTGAACTTCAGGAAACTAATGTTCTAACCCATTCTTTTCTTTTACTAGGCAGATAGATATCTTTGTCAATGATGTGAATACAGCTGCTAGTAGTTGCCATCACTAGGGAATACTGAAGTGAAAACAGCCATCGAACAGTTCATTTCTAATGTCTTCAGCTGTCAGTTGTTTTTCTTCCACTTTGCATAACTAACAGTTCCCTTGTTTGTTTGGGTTTTTTTCTTTTAATGCAGGGGCACTTGCAGAGCAATCTCTTTTTATTCTTGTCAACTGCTGCTGCTTTTGTTTTCCTCTTTTGGTTCAGATATGGTCCCTGTGTTTCTTGTTGCTCCTGCTTGATAATTATTAAATAATCTATCCTTATGGCCATTATTTACATGCTTTTGTCTTTTGAGATCATTGAAGAGCTCTTTGTTGGTTAGGTTGGTCCCTTTTTACACTTGTTATCCTTTCTTTCCATTGGCATAATTTGAGCTTGTTATCTTGATGTCATTGATTTGGGAGCTGTCAGGTCTCCTGTACCCTTTTTTGCCCTTAGATTTTCCTCCTATGAAACCTTAATGAGCAGTGTTAGAACAGAGAAAGAAGTAGAGAGAAGACTAAGTGCATGAAGCTTCCAAAGTTGCCTTTAGGTGCTGTGATGTCTAGGCAGATTGAGATTGCTCTACTGTCATTATTCGAAACGAAGAATGCTAAGAACTTGGGGCAATAAATATATGTCCTCTTTTCCCTACGCCACCCATGTCCCATCTAATAGCAACTGTAAGCCAAGGAGATTATGCCACTATTCCACCACTAGTTTGTTTTTTTTCTTTCAGTAAATTAGTGCCTTTCTAGGAATAGCAAGAAGGGCCTTAATAAAAGCATAAGGCTGCACATCTATTGACTCTCACTTCTCTCCCAGGTAAAACTCGCCCTGTAGTTTTTCTGTTGTAGCAGCTGTCAATCACGCTATTTTTTTTTTTTCTCGGATCTTACAGAGCCAATGGTGGTCTGAACTGCATTGTGTCACTGCTGCCTTTGCATGATGCTTCAGTAACTTCCTTAAGGTGTATTTCTAAGGGTTGTGTTATTCAGAGGGCAAAATTATCCTGCAAAATTGTTTGTTATTGATTGTCCTTGAGAGAGCAGGAAACTAGCCTAACCTTGCAGGAACACATCCTAAGTTTGAATATAGTCTTCATTTAGCGTTAGCGTGTTCAAGTCTGCCAAAGGACCTGGAATTGCATTAGTGATTAATCTGACCTTATCTGTTTTGTTGGTTAGGCTTAGGGAAAATACAACTTTTGGAATAAAAGGTGAAATTGTATTTTTCACTATTGTCACATCTCTGAAGTATGCAGTTGAGCCTGATTGAAGCAGTGAAGTTGTGTGGGTTTTATGCATCTGTCTGTTCCTTTTTCTTTGTGTTATTTCACATCAACTTTTTATATCAGATCTTTCTCATTACATCTGTTACCATGTGCTGATTCCCATTCTCTGAATTTGTCTTCCTTTTCACTGTGCCCTTTCTGTTTTCCATCAGGTTCAAATCATTGTATTCTCCACTGTCTTCACTCTCCTGTCATTAGAAGCGAGCAGCTCAGCCCCTAAAAGTGTCATTTGAAGGCTCCTTTTAGTTTTCTAAAAATTTCTGCTCAAGGCTCTTTGTTTCTGAAAGCTCCTTCCAACAGCTCTGCTTCTTTGGGCTCCATTTTGTAGGGATATTCCACTCTAATGTCTGGCTTTATAAATTGAAGCAGCATAGAAACCGAGGGAATTCCTTTTTTTTTTTCCCCCCCTTTTTTTTTTCTTGCTTTCTGTTCAAGTGGTCGCTGAGTCCAGTTGTGGTTGGATACAGTGGAATCTTCTGCTTTCTTAATGGTAGCAGAAAGTAGCGTGTGTTTTCCAGACTTCATCTTCAAACCTTCCAGTCTCTCTTCTGACAATTGTTGCATTAATAAAGCTTAAGGTGGCAGGGTAACAATAAATTTAATTCCTTGTTCCTTCATACCAAATATGTCTACCTGGGTTTTAAAGCAAGAAATGTACCATTAGGCACAAATACTGATTGTGTTAACCAACAACTGCGTATACCAAAGTCTTCCTTCTCCTGATGCCTGATGAGATAGGACAGATTAATGTTGTGTATAAACTATTAATTTCAAGTCCAGTTTT